GAGGAAATAATATTTCCGAGGAAAATCTTTTCCAGCAGATTTGTGAAAGGATTTTCTTCATCTGAAATTGTTTCTTTATCACACTGCATCCATCTTGTGTGTAAATATTTCACTTTTTTCTTAGAGTCAGAAACCTAACACAGATCTTAATCCTATTGCTCCGTTAAAGTGAAAGTGTGATTACTTATTGCAGCGACACAATCCATTCCTCTCCCCGCAGAGAGAGCCCAAAAAACACACGGTAAATCCAATCCCTTCTCTATTGATCCAGCCCTTCATGTTAACTCCACTTCCTTCAATAGAAAGAGAGGAATCCGAAGAAAAAGCTGGTACAATGCGCTGACCTTCACTCGCTCCTAAAACACAAGATCCTAGAGCCGTGGACTTGTATCCAATCAATTACTCGGTGGCTTAATTGATTTGCAAAGGTAATCACTGGGCACACATCCACCAGGGCGGAGTATTTGATGTTTTAATAAATGGTTTTACAGCAGAACTGGACGACCAGATCGATTCGGCCTCCGCAACCTTGATTAGAGCACGGGCTGGGAGACAAACGGCAGCGTGGCAGCACGGCGAGCCGAGCGATGCAATTGGTTGGCCTTACCTTTACTGTTTACACTCGAGTGTTGCACAGCGGCGTGGTGAAGAGCGGAGCTGACCACATTGCTCAATTTCCTCTTACAGGAAGAAAACTGAGACCAGACGCTTACTGTAGATCTTATAACAATATGCAGTAAAGTGTATAAATAAATAAGAGTCACCTTAAGCTGACATTCTCAAACTGTTTGGTCCTGAAACGCCTCAATAATGGAGAAGCTGAGTCACCGTCACTGATCATTGCTTTTTGAAACTGTCGAGCATTTATTTATTTTGCCGAACAAACCAATTCTGAGGATGTTCAAAATCTACAGCAGCAATAATCCTGTTCACTTCTCCTGGACCCCGAAATCTTTTGTGGGTTACCTACTAAAAAGGACTTATATAAAATGAATTTGAATTATAGGATATGCATTTATAAAAGAACGAGTGCAGTGCGTATTCTAGTTCAGTAATGAGAGTTTTCTTGTCCTGTGTTACTGCTCCAGAGCTTCACCAGAATGTTGATGACGTAAATCAGCAATTGTGACATTTGTGGATATGGTGACAATAAAAAATTCAAAATGATCTGGCTGTGATGTTGGCCTTGACTTAGTTGTCGACTGCAGTTGTAGTTTATCACAGGACGAAGAAGGAGACATGTTTCACTCGGTTTATCAAGATTTGTCCAAATCGCACCAAACTCAGCACTGCACTTTCCCAGGCGATTTACAATAGACATTTTTATTGTACCGACAAGAGAAAGTTCAGTATTGAGAGAGAAGTAACCAAACACACTGTATAGCCGTTTTAAATGCATCATCAACCCCCCTGACTTGCTGGTGGTGGTGAATCCCGCGGGGGATCACCTGCTGTGATCACACATTGACTTCTCCTGGAGCAGAAACTGCAGAGTCTCACTCTGACATATGCATTCACACATGCACCTCCTCCAGAGAAAATACCGAGGAGCTGTGAAGTTCAGTTTATGTCTGAAAGCAGCTTAATGAATGCATTTATTAAACCGATGATCCAGCTGAACTTTAGACCCCTGCATTTACAGTAAACATGAACAAATGCCCTCACTACAATCACCTTGATGCCAAATTAAGACTGACAACCCAATTGGGACAAACTGGTTTAAACGTGTATCATGTGTGGCAGTGGTTACATTTGGGATACTCTAGTATATCGTTTTTGATTCTCACCAGGTTTGTTAACTTCTGTGACGTGTTTTGCAACAGTAACTGTAGCGCAGCGAAGCATGCAACACAACTGCAATGCTTTATTTCATTTCAGAGCCTGGAGCCATTTGGCTCTCACCCCCGGGTCAGGAGCATTAAACTGTAACAGAAACATCACACCTGTGGGTGCTTTGTCACCTCTGCACACTTACAGTATGTACGCTGCCCTCTCTCTGCAGCAGGGAGGGACACAGCTTTCACCGTTGACTGAACAACAATGGTTCCATTTGTACTTTCACACCAACATATATTCCATCTCTCGTCTGGGTTAAGACAAGAGTTTGTGACCCTGGGACACAGGGAACATCTCAGAAGACAAGTGTGTCAACTGATCTCGGAAGAAGAGGCTGAACGTAAGTTGATGATGATTTACATAAGATGCCCTTCATTACACTGAATGTCTTTATTATTTATGCAAAAATTCATTTTTCAGCATTTTAATGTAAAGTAATTTTCTGCAGCTCATGATTTATGAGTATAATCAGAATAAATACGCATCAATAACTAACCAGACCACTCATGAAACTATCTTTTAAGATTTGTAGATTACAAAAAATAAGTTTCTCCTAATATAAAGTATCCTCATTCAAGCTGCCACACTTAATAAAGAGGAAAGCGGAAATGTGATACCTGGATTGCTTCATGCAAATCAAATCTCAACACACAAATAGATTTCCATCCCATCCAAAAACTTTTTTTTTTCCCCAAACCACACACTAATTTTGACTGTATGAAACCAGTGGCTGGATAAAATAACTACAAGGGACTTTTGGACAGCATAAGAAAGGTTGAAATAGTTTAAACTCCGCTATAACACTCATTTCCCACACTCTGACGGGAGTAGAGAAACTCTGAATTCAAACGTGATGCCTTCACAGCTCATTGGAGGCTCAGACTTTCTCAACACTGCTTCCCACCTTCACAGTGCGGAGACATTTCTCCAGTTTAACGTTTCTGTGGGTTTATTAGTTGAGAGGCTGCCCACCAGCAAGTTTTAATTGCCTTTGGGGACAATTAGGGCCGGTCGCCCGTCACTGCGGTTCACAGCTTGCATCTGCTCGCCTTGCGCTGGGATCAAACTGTCTGGGCTGAACCACAGCCTGGTCCGACCACAGGTGCATTCGAATAAAAGTTTGACCACTGGACTCGAGATAAAAAATCAGCTGATAGGAACCTTTCACAGACATTTTGGTATCTGTGTTGATGTTTGCAGATATGAAAACCTTGCAATGCAGAAAAGATTATTATTCTGATTAGACAATTTTCACAAAGAAGTTCTGAAAGACGAATCTGAAAAAAGCTCAGACATTGAATCTGATATTTACACTTGCACTCACTAAAGGTCACAGATATCAGAAATGATTTATAGAAATAATCAAATAAGCAACATGCAATAAAGCAAGTCAGCGCTAAATCAAGACAGGCGTAAGAAGGGATAAACAGAAAGAAGCTGAACTGTGAGGCAGCTAACGAGAGCTGACTGCAGGTAAAACAGTCATTTCTGGAGAGAAGGTGATGTATTGTCGCGTGGCTGTGGCGGCTGCTGCTCTCGTTGGCTGCAGCAGGCCCTCCGAGAGCTGCAGTCCACCGTCACCTGATTATGTTTCACCTTGTTTACGCCTGCGCTCCTTCATGGCAGCGCCTCCATCTCCCTCCCTGCAAGGACCAGTCTCATTACGTCCATCTCAACGAGTCACTCAGCCAAGAGAGAGAGCGAGGGATGGTTCGGGGACAGGTAATACAAGGACAGGTGAGAAAAGACGATTAGAGAGAAATGAATGTAGCGGTGGAACATTGTCTAAATCCGTCCTGACACGAGACTAGAAAGTGTTTACTGTTTAGCGTGGAAATCATTGTGAGGGTGTAAATTCATGTGAAGCAGGACAGGCGGCGAAGGACAAAGTAGCAGCTCACACAAAGCGAGGCTGTGCTATGTATCAGGAAGGACGCCTGTGAGAGGAGTAAACACAGGCAGCGCCCTGCAGCTCTATGTGCCTTTCTGTTCTCATACACAGACAAGTAGAGAAAACTAACGTGTCACATTTTATCTTACAGGAAAATTATCATGTTTTTCTATGGTTACTTTCTGTAGTTTGGTCTGTACCACGTCAAGGAAACTGTCATAGTTTCCATCAGAGTCCATCACCTTCTTCTGCCTACCCAGCTTTTACAGATTTATTATTATTACAAAACTCTAATCAAAATTTTATCCATATTATAAATTAACTTTGTTTGCCAGACAACCAGCAGAGACTCTAACTCAGGATCATTTTTTTTACAGCCAAGAGATTTTAAATCACAATCTAACTTTAACTGAGGAACTTCAACGGATTCAAGTCCCCACAACATGAGGAACTCACATAATCTTTAATTGTCTGGTAGACGTCAGAGTGGGTTTTGTTTGTAGTCGTCAAAAATAGCTACTGTGTACAAACACAGCGCAACCACTGAGTTACTGAAGCTCAAACAGAAAGTGTTACCATCATCGCTGCTCTCGCTAATTTCAGCTGTGGTTCAAAACACAAGTCATATCAGAAATCACGTATAAACAAACTATATTATTGTTCTATTTTGATGGAAGACATGAAACTTTGAGATGCACATATCATAGATACATGACTTACACGTGTTATAGTTAGCTGTATGAGGTCATTTTCAACCAGAAATAAAATACAATCTTTCTATATCAAAACACTGCACCTGATACAAACACTTAAAATGCATTATCAAAAAATAAAACAAAATAATGCAACACTCAGATTCAGAACAACACCGCAGATGTTAAATTAAAAATTAAACCACATAAGAAAAAGTGGAATGATTACACAGGAGTTTGGTTTGCTTTAAGCCCTGTCTTGTTTAGTATATAAAGCTTATATCACTGCTATTATTTCTTAAATCAACAGATACAGTTCTGACTCAGCACAGTCTCCTTGTTGCCTTTCCACCACTCTCCTTATACAACAGTTCTCAGCTGTAAGTGCATGACTTACACTGTTTAATAACACAAAGAGAATCATTACACAACACAACTCAAGCTTTCATCAGAGCCAATGCACAGGCCCCAGTCTTCTGAGCCAACACCAGCAGCAACAACACAGCAGCTTCACTGCACAGTCATAATATAAAACATCTGAGCGTTATTAAATATTCACACGGCCACAGAGACACACTCACCTCATTTCAGGCTCAGGTCCAGTCCTGCTGATGTCCCATGGAGCTGAAGAGCTGGTCCACATCTTATCTGCAGTCTGTGGTCCACATCCATTCACTGCAGCTTCCCACTGAAGACAGCTCCACTCCTGCTGGACAACTGGCTGAAGGCCTCAACGCTGGAAAACAAGCTCCCAGTGGTTTTCATTCCAATGTTCTTGTTCCCTTCCAGTTGTTCAGATTATAACTGACGTGTTTTCTTCAGGACTTCCGTTCACCGACATGACACTGACCACGTGCTCATCAGCTTCACCTGTTTTATCACATGGTGGACAGGTAGGCTGCAGTAACCAAGATCGGCCATCACTAAATGGGAGGCGCTGTTTCTCCTAATTTAAAACGAAAACAAAAATCACACAATTATTTATCATTTAAACCAGATTTAATCATTCACTTTACTTTAGTATGATTCTACACGTACTTGCATTTTACTTGAGAATGTTATTTCCATGTTTGTGAGCCACCTACCTCACACGCCCTATGCTTTCTGCAGAAAGGAAACTTTAAATATTCATAGTGTACCCTTATAAACCCATTTTTCTTACATGCACTCATTTGTTTGAGTATTTAAGTAATTGGTGAATTAAAGTATTGTTGTTACATCTTCTGATCTCAGCAGAGAAGCTGTTTATTAGGCTCTACTGTAGAAATTAAGACAAAAAATATAATTTGCCTTAAAATTCAATATAATAATAATATTTCACTACAGTATATGATAAAACCACTTGATTTTTCTTCATCACTTCTTTGGTTCCTTCCACTGTGTAAAGTTAGAGTATAAATATAGTAAATACTGAAATTTATCCATGAAATAAAACATGATTCACTGCAGCCAATATTAATTACCATCAATGCATAAAGTGGCTCAATAAGCAAATGAGTTTCACAGCTCGAGAAAAGTTCAAGTGCAGCCTGTCACAGTTTGAGTCAAGAGACCAACGCAGAAAAACCATTGTGGTGTAAAATGCAAACGACCAAAGTGTGAAAGAGTTTCCCAGCAGAACACACTGGGGGCAAATACGACTTTACACAAAGGATTGCATTTTCCACATACAGCTGGTACAATTTCTCAGTGTGTGGGACTGTGTGGACCTATGGCACAAAATAGTCCATTTTCATGCCATGTTTCATTAAAAATGCACCGAGCACGGCAGGTAAAATTATAAAACCCAAAAGAGGAAGGTTGTGCTTGTAAAAGTAATAAAACAGCTAAACCCTGATTATTGAACAATGAACGAGGCTGAGACGTCCAAAGTTGACATCGTGTCCCCTGCGCAGCATGCCTCACATGCCTCATGTTGACGTTCTAATGTATGAAGTCGTACATCTCCTCCTGTTGCCGGGGTCCATGGATCATCGATCTGTCCTTCCCGGTCCCTCTGAGGCCTTCGCTCACCGCCCGACACGTCCTGCGATTAGCTCGTCACTCTGCACATTTCTGGAGCAGAACTAATCAGCCCGGAGAAGACACTCGTCCCACTGCTATCTATGCGTGACTTGTCCAATGTATGGCAAAGGCAAACAGAAGCACAGCAGAATGGATTTTATCTCCAGAATCTCTCCGGTGCACTGATGGAAAACCATTAGAGACACGTGGAGTTCCTGTCTTCTGCGTAATTGATCAGGCAGAGTGATTGAGTGTATCAAGAGGTAATTATATTGTAATTAACAGGTTTAGACTGACATATTAGTCCATTAGAGAATGACTGTCAGACAGTCATGTTACCTGATGAGCAAGAGTGTGAGCAGACACACACTGTGGATTACTCACTTTATTTATTTTTATAGCAGGTCTATCAAAATAAAAGCACATCAAACTGTATTAAAGGCTGAATTTACATTTTAAGCATAATTTGTATTTACTCTCGAACTAAAAGAATAATCTGGACCACAGACATGTATGTTAAAATATTCTAAACCCATCCATCCATCCATCCATCCATCCATGGGATCACCTGGGATTTCAAGCAAGAAGCAGTAAATCCGAGGATGAAAGAAATATTTTACTTTTATATTCTGATATTCTCTGTGTAAGATGTTTTTTTTCCAATGTATAATTTTCCAAATGGACATGTTAACAAATTAACGAAATCCTCTGCCCTCTCTTATTGTTGTATTATGTTACCTGTATGACCACAGTGGAAGTGCAGTATATTTTTCTGCCTGCCCTTATAATTATCAGCTTCACATCAACACAAAATGTCTAATTTCCTGAATTGGCAGGATCCCTGTTGTGTTAAATGCATCCGAACACAAATAATATATGAAAACATTGATTTCTACTTGGAGCAATTGCCTTTTAAGTGCTTTAAATACACATAAACACCACTGGGACTGATATGAACCTGATGTATGGTGTGATAATTGGTCTGTGTCTGGGTGTTCAGGTGAGGGTTTATATTTATTTTTCATGGCACACTGAGTCACGACGACAGTGAGGCATGTGGGAGCAACCCTGAAAGCAACAAGGCTCCGCACAGACAAATTTAAAATTCAGCTCAGGGATAAAAGTTTCTCACTTACATGCTTGGCCCCAAAAGCACTAAATTCTGCGCAAACATTTTCCTTTTGAAATTAATTCAGTGCCACACATTCGGCTGCATAAAATATTAACAGTATTTCAATATTTTAGTGCAAATAATGAGGGCTCTTGACCTCTGTATTTAAATTTAATCACGACATGCAGAATTTATTAGCTGCATTCTCCCTTGTCTGTCGAGAAAAAATTTGCCAGTAACTTCACCGGGTGTGTGCAGAGTGATGAGGAATCACTCTCTTCAGGAAAGATGAACATGATTGACAAATCATCATGCAAATATTCGTGAAGTAGCCACCCCCCCCCCAAAAAAAATCCAGAGAGCGAGAAAGAATCTGAATCTGATCATTTAACTCAAACCAAACATTCTGCCACAGGAGGACAGTGTGAGCAGATAAGGTATGAGGTGCCAAAACATGAAAGTGTGCGACGGCTCCACCGCAAAGCACGAGCTGAAGGTCAGCCGCCGCGTAATTGCCACGTCCCCGCTCCCATTTGTCTACAGCCGGCAGATTGTGTTTCAGAAATCAGCTGCAGGTGAAAAGGCATTTGGTCGACTGTCATCCTCAGTCACCTTCATCCACGCAGATATCGGTGCTGGGGCCGTGACAGGAGGCCACAGGTTGAGCTGCCGCTCTTATCATCAGCCAGAGACACATCCCACCCCGGATGAAAAGATTCATTCTATATATTTATATTGGGGATTCATACTGAGTGAAATTGCACACGCACGCACGCACACACACAAATAAGTGATATGGACTGTGAAGCTGTGGCTGCCACTGAAAACATTCATTCTGTCTCTGGTTCTGCATGAGGCTGAAAAAACAGTATTACAAACAGATAATGTGACCTTATGATGGGATTTTTTTTTCATTTTCCAGGTTAGAAATTAAACATATTTCACACTTAAAAATGACATCTAACGAAAGCCAAACATTCTTCATTACCTTTTGCTGCGTAACGTGACACAACCTTTAATACATTACTGCAGGAGCGGCGTCAGGTAGATTTCCATCTGCAGTGGTGGTGAAGATACCAACTCCCATAATCCCATGCTGCTTCATGGCTTAATCATGAATATCTTTACATACTATTTCTATCGTGGGCCTCCTAGAACATTGTATATTAAACCAACAGGCGGGCGTCACCCAGTTACCAAGACTCATTATTTCTGCTCTTAACATCTGTGGTTTCCATGTAGATCCTTGGTATAAATACCCAGCTTTTCAGATTTCTGTGTCCAGCCCTTCAGAGTTTAGCAACGCTTTATTGAAATTAAAGTGTGTTCTAGAAAGAGAAATATCCACAGTGAGGTTGTTTAATGGTCCAGAATACCAAGGGCAGTGCTCCGTTTTAAAAGTTTTCAATGTGATGAACAACAAAAACTTTTCAAATCATATTCCTCCACCTCTACCTGTGCACATACACACACACACAGTGTTGTAGAAACTGTAGATAAACATGTCCCAAAATGTCGCACTCTCCCTTAAACACTATATGTCATTGATAAATCATGACTTGTACATGCTTGTTGTCATGACTACTAATGTTAATATAAAATGGCTGCAGATGACAGGAATATAATGTATATAATGCTTAATGAGCTCAGCATGCATGTATTGGCTGCTGAGAAAATGCATATAGGTGCCATGATCAGGTTATTTTCTCAATGTGGGTTTGGAGTCAACTTCAGGTGAGAAAAGCAAATTACACAAAAGGAGATGCAAGTCTTCACAAATTGTGCATGAGAATGTTGTGTTTGCAGCCGATCTTTATATCCGCTTTATGTTTCGTTTGTTATCGTGTCAAGCAGCCGTGTAATTGCTTGTATGTTCCTCCTGCAGCATCTTTAGTCTTTGAGGAGACTTTTTCCGAACAAGCAAAATGCTGCCCTTCTGTTTCACCATGATAAACGAGTGAGCGGGTGATTATCAGCAGCCGCAGATTTCTCTCAGAAATCCAGAGTAACAACATTAAACTGGTAAAAGTGAGAATGCAAACAAGCAGGATATCCAAAGTGCTCACATGCTTTTGTGCTGAGGACAATATCCCTGCTGCAACACTTGACTAAAACCCTGGATTATGGGATCAGATCAGATAAATACGGAGGAAACAAATCAGCCAAAAGAGGAGACTCGAAGATGAAATAGTTGATGGTTCAACATTCCTGCATTCTTCAACACCTCTGCCTGAGTGCCTGTTCTCCTCCTCTACAACAAAACCATTTGCTTCTGTCCACATTCTTGTTGAGGATGAAAAACAGCATCGACAGAGTGAGATAATCCATCACGGCAAACAACAATGTTTTATCCTTATTTCTCTGAGCCACAATCTGTGTTTTCATATCATTGCTGCATAATGTTACTCTCTGCTTGGTATCAATCACCTGGAACCCACGGAAAAAGCAAGTAATTTCAAGCAAGGTTTGAAATCTAATTGTATATAGTGAAAACTGCTCTGGGGAATGTAAACTCTACATAAACAGAAGTCTATTTCTTAGAATCTATTTATTTAAAATTGCTTCTCCTCCTCTGAAGCGCTTGTGTTTTGAGAAGTCTCACATAAATGAGGAGTTATTACTATTGTTGTGATAATAAATGGGATGTAACTCCAGGCCCACAGGAGACTGTTTTCTCCTCTCAAAAAGATCAAGCTGCAATTTTTGTCCCTTCTCTGAGAAATGTGTCCCGTGTCTATTATCTCAAAGAGCTACTGTCATCGAACAAATGATAAAAAATGTCCCTGCAGTACAAAACACACAATCACACACACACACACACACAC